CGCTTCATAAAAGTGTAATCGTTTGGTGAAAACAAATTCCATTTGCATATATCTTCTATGTCTGAGCCCTCGAGGAAGAAGCATTTGATAATTCGTAGCATAATTAGTTATTAGTTTTCTTCAGTGAAAATGAAATGTGCTCCATCTTATCAGTCCTCTCACTTCGCCAAGCCATATAAACACAATACGAAAACAAATCGTCAAAAGTGAATAAAATTGAATGAAAAATCTCATATGTACAAAAAATTAATTTGTAGGTGAATTCTGTCCATCTAATGTACTTTTCTGCCAAACCTTTTTCTGGCCACCTAATTAAGTAGTAGTTACACCTAGCTGGCGATGAACATGACTAGTGGTCCCTTCTGAATCAGTTCTATTAGATTGTTTATTAACAGATGTCATCTTCAGAGGGGCCAATTACGTACATGTACAAAAATCTATCAAATATCCAGAGCGTTTCATCTTTTTAACTTTCAAAGTTTGTTTTATTATCTTTGCAGTGGAATGGGTTTATTTCTGGATAATCGCTAAGGTAAAAAAAAGATCTAGATGTTGACAGAGATCTGCTTAGATATCATCAGTGTTAATTTCATACACGAGCGAATCGGTATCAGTTATGAGTAGACTGGCTTTATCTCCGTGGTGTCGTTTGATGAAGTAGTAATGAAACTCGAGCATGATCATTTTGGAGATATTGAGAACGGACGTAGATGACTTTTTCTAGAATGAGAAGTGTTTTTCTGGACTCGATAGCGACGAGTTCTTTGTCAAATATATTCATGCTGACGATGGCATTGTTGGCTAAAAGATTATCTCGTCCTCGTGAGTTATGAACGATTCCGATTTTCTTTGTTATTGGCAACTGCGTGTTTTTTGGCTGATAGTGCAAATGCCTCCTTGAATCATGTTCTCGATGTATTAGTAGGGATAAACTCATTTTCGATGCAGGAGAGGATGATGATCCCCAGGTTCTATTTTGAGATACTTGAACATGTGACAGGTTTGAACGATTTCTTCTAGCGACTACTCCATAAACTGGAAGTATTAGATGAATCGAAAGGGACCAATAGAAAACAACATTTATTTTTCGAAATTGTTGGGGATGCATTTTATTTGTTACTACTTCAGCGAGAAGGACCTTGACTTGTGGCTGGCTGAGTGCTGAGATGACGAAGTGTCTATCGTATCCTCTTAGATCATTATTGATGACTGGAAGGATGTCTGGATCTGTGAAGCATAGATTATGATCCACGTGAGCAGCTCTTCGATAATGAGCAGTGACATGACAGTGATCTCTGACTCTTTTATCATGAGGTTGAAAGTACTCTTCGCAGATATGGCATTGCTGTGCTGCTTTATGCTGCTTGAATTATGAGGAGGTGAGGAAAGTGACTGGTTTTGGATTTGCAGATGCGTTTCTATTCCGTGACTAGTTGTTCAAAGAACTAGACGATCCCAATCTTACTACTGACACTAAAGGACACTTGACATGTCTTTATTTTAAAGACAAAGTACTATTTTGCATACTAAGTGAGAAGGGAAGTAACATTGTTCCAATGGTGTACTAGGTCATTCCCTTCTCAACCCAATCTCGTCATAGCTTTACCTGAAAAGATCAATATACAGCTATGACGCAGTTTTGAAAGCATCACTTCATTCCACAGTTTAAAGACTCTTTATTAAATGGTGTAGGAGAAATTTATTCACACGACTACAGCATGTCTGCGTCGTCTTACAAAAGAATTTGGGACAAACGAATGCACATTTATAGGTATATAGTATATATGAAGTGATATCAGCTAGTTCAAATGTGGACAAGTATATAATAATGCTCAGGCGTATGAAAGAGGGTCATTAAGGAGTTTAATATGGATAATTGGGGTATTTCAGGTTTTATAAGTGCTTATATAACAGTGTGATAAATGGTGGGTATCTGAAAGATGCGGTGCCAAGTGGAGCATGCGCACTGAGTGGACATAAGAGTTCCAGTTCAAAGGGAAGAACCTTGTTTCCGAAAAGTCCTATATGGTGATACAAGCTCGTGCCGTAACTAAAATTATTAATTCTTTTGCGAAATATTCTTGCCCCAGTGAGACTAAATTCGAAAACTAAAAACCTGTAGAGTATGTTATTCTACAAACCTTGCCTAATCTCAAGGTATCATTATTTAATATGCTGTATGGTGGTAAACAGATTCGAACTTTCTGTAATATTAACTCAACAAGATATCACCTAAAAAAAAACGTTGCCAGATGTTAACAGTAAAGTGATGCTGTAATAAAATAGCCGGCCGGAGCTCAATATTAAGTTCCTAAGAGTTCTTTAATTTCAGAAAGAATAACAGCTAATGATAGAAATTACATTGTTGACTAAAAACACACTGGCTTTAATTAAAACTATTGTCAATACATGAATCTATCAAAATTATGCCGATTAAATAATTTGCCACATTTTATATTTCCTTATTTTAAGTTCTACTCACCGAAATACATTGACTTATTAAAATTTATTTTCCATTAATGTACTTACGTTTCACGGTTGGAGGTAAACAATGTCCTCAAACAGAATAGAAAATTTTGATTGATACAATAACAAGCGTAATAATCATGCTGAATTCTCCACCACTACCATCAGAACGTTTGCTTATAGTGAGCCAACATCAAAATTAATCTTTTGATAAAGAAAGAATGACCATTTTCCTAAGTAATGTTTATAAAATTACATTGCTCAGGAAGGATTTCTAAAAGGAAATATAACATGTGTTGTGATATCTTATTTGAAAAACAACATAACTTGGTTTAGTACCAATCGATTCACATTGAAAAGCCCATGATCCTTTCGTTCATTGGTTAGAGAACTTAATCCTGCGCAGGCGTACATGACTCGGCAAGTCTGGTTCAATTACCGTGTTTTGACCTAACGCAAGAAACTTTGCTTTTATTCCCCCACCATCACCACCACCACCAACAACAACAACAACAACCATCCCGAAAAAAAACTTATATCACTAGGTTAAATATCTTATAGCGGGTTTAACCAAACCAAAATGGTGATACACATCTCTGATGCACATAGTGTAACCCTTCTTACCGTATTTATTCCTATTCTAGTCATCGATTCGTCGGAGAGTCTAAGAAGCAATTACCAAATAACGGGAATTTTGAAATAGGGAAGACTATAAAAATCCAGTATGCTGAAAATACCCATTTGGTTGAAACATAAAAATCATTAAAATTACTGTATCTAATCCATTTTATAGAAAAGATAATATATGGATAAAATGAAAGCCATATAGATAGCTTCGTCACCAAGAAACTCCGGTCTGATCAACTAGACATGTGAGGTTACATTGTTTACAACACTGCGAATGGAATAAAATTGTAAATTGAAACTATTTGAATACTAAACTTAAGACAAAAAGAGTAAGAAGTTTGAAAATTAATTGTTTAACTTTTTTTTACTAAGTTTTAATGGATGAATACGTTTTTAGCGTGAAATAAGTTCCATTTTTATTGTCTTTAAGTAGCACGTTTACACATGAGCATATTTCCAAGGATCATTTTTTTCGGATAATATCATTTTTAAATATTAAGGCAGACTAATGAAAACTTATTGCACAAGATTGTCTTTTCTCTCCCCCATTTGAATTACCTTAAGACGGATATCGATTATTTAAGTATCTAATATATACACCTGTAAACAACATTTTTCAGTTAGCTAAGTGTAGTACCATACGAACGTAGGGGTTTTGACCTATATAGATAGTAAAATTAATCTTCATTTAAACAACCCTGTATACTTAACATGCATATAACCTTAGACCATACTAAAATAGTAAGGAACATCATTCTACATAAAAAGGTTCGAGGGTGGGGAGGGTCTGGGGTGGGGGTTGGCATTTTGTCGGTAAGCTTTTTTACTTTGCTTTTCTTTCCCGGTCTTTAATATTAACTCTTTAAAACACTCCAATTAAATATGGAGGTAAACATACCTTCGCTGGCAACTTTGATGTTTTAAGAACAATGCATTATATTTAGCATTGCATACGTGTAATACGTGTAAATTACGTGTAAATACGTGCAAATTATTACAGCCTCAATGTTGCAAATAATTAATTTTTTTTAGGTGAATGTAGAAGAGGATATATTTCGAAACAAAACAGTGCGTTTGATTTCTAACACAATATTTACCAGATCTATTCTCCAGATCTATAGTTGTATGACTAAATATTTTCCAGATCTATCTTTTCATGACTGAATATTTTCCAGATCTATCTTTTCATGACTAAATATTCATCAGATCTGTGGTTTTCATATTTATCATATTTATGGTTTCATGGCTAAATATTCACCAGATCTATGGTTTTGTTCTTAAATATTTATCGGTTTAATGTCTAAATATTTACCAAATTGTATGGTTTCTTGCCTAAATATTTAGCAAATCTCTGCTTTTGTGTCTAAATATTCAGCAAATATGTGGTTTGAATCACTAAAAATTTCCTAAATCTATGGCGTAAAGACTAAATATTTACCAGATCGATGGTTTTTTGACTAAAAATTTACCTGATCGATGGTTTCATGACAAAATGTTTACCAGATCTATGGTTTCATGACTAAATATTTACCAGACACGGTTTCATGACTAAATATTTACTACATATATGGTTTCAGGACTAAATATTTACCATATCTATGTTTTTATGACTAAATATTTAACAAATCTATGGTTTCATGGCTACAATATTAAATTAATCTATGATTTTATGACTAAATATTTGCTAGAGTTATGGTTTTATGATGAACTTTTCATCAGTTATACGGTGTCATTATTAAATATTTACCAAATATATAGTCTCATATCTAAATATTCACCAGATATGTGGTTTAATGACTACATATTCACCGACTCTGTGTTTTCATTACTTAATCTTTACCATATTTATGATTTCATGCCTAAATATTTATTAGATCTATGGTTAAATGACTATTATTTATTAAATTGACTGCTCAGGTGGCCTAATTGGTTAGAGCGTTCGCCTCGGATGAAGGAGGTTGCGGGTTCGAACCCCTTTTGAGTCATTCCATAGACATAAAAATAGTGCATGTAGCTGCCTCGCTTGACGCTCAGTCTTAAAAAGTTTGCTTTAGGACTGGTCGGTTTGATATTTTGATATAGTTGGAATTGATGCTACGTGTCTGCGGCATGATGCCCCAGTGCTAGACCTCACTATAAACTTTCACTCTGCAGCCATATGACTGAAAATGTGTTAATGTTGCGTTAAAAATCCAAATCATACTCACATCTATTGAAGTAATTGCTGTTTATGAATTAATCAATATGTATATAATCTTAATCTTTTTCAGTATAGTGCTGATAAAAATAAGGATCTGCAGTATCAGAAAAAATAAGAATTATCTTTAAGATGTAACAACTGTCGTTGTTCCCAATATAACAACCGTCGTTGTTCCCAATGTAATAACCGTCGTTGTTCCTAATGTAACAACTGTCGTTGCTCTCATTGTAACGATTGTATTTGCTCTCAATGTAACAATTGTCGGTGCCCTCATGTACACACAGATTATAAAACTTACATTCAGTGGTGATACCAAAGAATTGTTATTCTTGATGCTTTAAAATCGTGAGATGTAATTGTCAAATACCTTTTAAAGAAAATGAGACTTGCAGCAAGTTAAGTATCAACTTTGTAGAAGAATGAATAATTACCGTACTCACGTTGGCATTTTTTAAATCCTGTCTCCTCTCGTTTTGATACAATTAACCATTCCATGACTGACTTATTATGATGCTAATCAATATTCTGCAAGGAGAGATAAATAGACGGCATAAAGAAATTTAATAAATAATCGTTTAGACATTTTTATATAATTATATAAAATTGCATGGAATTATAATAATTAATACATAAAAAATTTATAGACCAATTAGACATAAACAGCAAAGTTGTCATTTCTGTATTGTAATTCAACTGAAACAGATTTATGTCTTCAATCATTTCAAAGAAAATCTTTATTTAAAAAAAACTCAAAAGTCAGTGACCTGCCTTTTAAATAGAAAGGAAGGTATAAATTCCCTTCAAGACGCCATATCGTCTTGAATAACCATAAAGGTGACGATGAAAATTTCCAGAATCATTTTCCAAAGAAAATGGGATGAAAACTTTTCAAAATAGGCGTAGGAATATTCATCCTTTATGTCTGTTCGATATCAAAAAGGAAATTATATTTGCTTCTGACTTTATGAATAACGCTGACACAAATATGAAACGATATACATACGTCTCTCTCTCTCTCTCTCTCTCTCTCTCTCTCTCTCTCTCTCTCTCTCTCTCTCTCTCTCTCTCTCTCTCTCTCTCTCTCTCTCTCTCTCACACACACACACACATGGTTCTGTTATGTTTCTAATATACTACTTTTGTAAAGACGACAGGATGACATTTTCATTCTATTTATTATACAGTGATGTGAGCATCGATTTACCTGTTAATTCAAAGCTTTTGAAAAAAAACAGATTTTGTTTATAAATTATATTTACTGGCGCTGAAAAGACTCAATATTTCAAGTCCGAAATCCAAAACCATCGTCATTTTCAATCGGCATTATTATATATTAACTTCTACAGCTCTATGGCATGTTCATTACATTTCAAGATATAAGCTTCGCTTTTGCTAGTCGTTGAAGTGCTTTGTAACTACACCGCGTTTAGAAACGAGAAACGAAATTATATTAGTAATTAGAAGAGAAGCCAGCGTGTATTCCATTTTCATGTAACCTTATTCATAACATAACAACGCACTAATTTCTGTGTGTTATATAGACGTCTCCAATTGCTGGCATAACCGCTGTTTCTGAAGACAAATCGGTTTAACTGGGTGGAAACGACGAACTTCATTTGGTGGATATAGTCCTTACTTGTTTCTGCGTGAAGGTAAGGTTACATCTTCTTATATCAATACTTAATGCAAATGTATAACATTGGATGTAATTAAATAATTTCTTCGTTATCATACTACACCAGTATATTGAAGTTCACATGTCAGAAAAAAAGATTTGACTTTGGATTTCATTCGTGAAACTAGCACCAAAATATCCGTCTAATTCATCTGTAAAATTTGTTCTTAACGAAAATTTATAAAAATGCAAACTCTAATCTGCCTCGAAATACCTACATATTCTTTTTTCAATTCTAAACATAATTATATTAATTTGTTTTAAATAAAATATGCGTTTACATTTCATGAGCTGTATTACAAAGCAGAAATCAGTTTTGAAAAATGTGTTTTTTGTCCAGTCTACTGGATTCGTATTTGTTATCATGCCTTCTTTGAAATAGTTTGGTTTTAAGTAACATGGTATTTATATGACGTTCTATGATTGAATTGTTCGAAAAAAAAATAGAAAACAATGAACATGATTGAATGCTATTCAATGAAAATTGTTATATTAGGTAAAACGATTAGGAAATAAAAATAACAAAACGTGTTATGCGCTGCTTATATCACTCGTACGTTGGTTATATCGCAGACTTGTCAATCATGGTTTATACCACTCGTACGGTAGTTATATCGCAAATTTGTTAATCACGGTTTATACCACTCGTATGTTCGGTACATCGCAGACTTGTCCATCATGGTTTATACTACTCGTACGGTGGTTATATAGAAGACTTGTCAATTTTGTACCAAACTCTAGAGCTTTCACTGGAACGTACAGATCTTAACGTGTTCAATTTTGCGTGCTTTCAAAGGAGTATATAATTAAATTCCGCAACGTACAGCTCTTAACGTGTTCAATTTTGCGTGCGTTCAAAGGAGTGTATAATTAAATTCCGCAACGTACAGCTCTTAACGTGTTCAATTTTGCGTGCGTTCAAAGGAACGTATTATTAAATTCCGCAACGTACAGCTCTTAACGTGTTCAATTTTGCGTGCGTTCAAAGGAGTGTATAATTAAATTCCGTAACGTACAGCTCTTAATGTGTTCAATTTTGCGTGCGTTCAAAGGAGCGTATTATTAAATTCCGCAACGTACAGCTCTTAACGTGTTCAATTTTGCGTGCGTTCAAAGGAGCGTATTATTAAATTCCGCAAGAGACTACTTTAATGATAAGCTGCTTATCACGTATTATTTATGTCACTAGTATAGTTATTACCACAATAGACTTGTCATGTGTTTTTTATGTCACTCGTATAGTTATTACCACAATAGACTTGTCATGTGTTTTTTATGTCACTCGTATAGTTATTATCACAATAGACTTGTCATGTGTTATTTATGCCACTCGTATAGTTATTACCACAATAGACTTGTCACGTATTTTTTATATCACTCGTATAGTTATTACCACAATAGAATTGTTATGTGTTATTTATGTCACTCGTATAGTTATTACCACAATAGAATTGTCATGTGTTATTTATGTCACTCGTATAGTTATTACCACAATAGACTTGTCATGTGTTGCTTATGTCACTCGTGTGGCCATTATGAAAATAGACTTGTCATATGTCACTCGTATGGTAATTAAGACTTGTCATGTATTGATTATGTCAATGGTCATTATGAAAACAGGTTTATTTTGTATTGTTTCTTTCACACTATGGATATTATGACATTATACGTATCACGAGTTTAAAAAACACTGTGAGATTATTCCTATAAATTTACATAGGTCAGTTTAGATACTGTTTTAAGCATATTTTGGGTACAATGATAAATACACATTTGCATAGGTTAGTTTAGACAAAAATGTTTAAGCATGTTTTGAGTAAAGGATTAAATCAAATTTTCATAGATCAGTTTAAATACTGTCTTCAGCATGTTTTGTGTACAATGGTTAATGTAAATTTACAGAGGGCAGTTTAGAAACTGTTTTAAGCATATTTGATGCGAGAGCAAGACGCATAGTCAAGAGGTTTGTCTGACTTAACGCCTACGTTTAGCACGTGACGAAATCCAGGTATCCGTGGTAGCAGTTTTACAATTATGACTAACTAAAGGAGACACTGGAGAGAAGACTTACGTCAACCGGAAGAAGTAGGTTGCACTTGAGTACAACATAATTTGTTAAGTTTATCTACCACAATAATTGACAACTTACCAAATAATATCTTGAAACGTACTCTTTATGCGTCCTTCATTAAACTTTCTTTATACAAAATCTAAATTTTGTTCAACAATTTATAAAGTATTGCTTTTATATTCCGCTGATGAATATAACGACATTGGTATGGTCGAGATGCCAGAAGGACTTTATTTGTTGTATATCCATGTACTTATGGTATACAAACTCAAGTATCGATGTTTTCAGTATTAAATATTAACTCAAAGATAGACCAAAACAACAACAACAACGACGACGATATATTTTGTTGTTTTTTTTATCGTTATATTACTATTATTATCACTGCTAATAAATAATATTAAAAAACTAATATGAATGTGAATGATGAACATCGATTTCCCGGTGAATGATCTGGTAATAAGTAAGAAAACTATAGAGATAACTAATGAATAATAACGGTCAAATATAAGACTGATATGTTAGTAGGAAATTATTCAAAAGCTCTGTGTTGCGTTTGTTCTCTAAAAATATTCTAAGTGAAAATGATAAGGATAGCAATAAGGAAGAGCTTAACTTAATGTAATTTGTAAGAATTATAAGAGGATTTCACCCAATAATTTTGTACTGTGTGCGTGAAAACCGATACAATACGGTGTGTTTACATCTATTTATACGTAGTATCCATGGGTTACGAACACTAGATTAATGAGATATCTCAGCCACATTTAATCGTATCCATAAGCAATAATCAACACTCCACAGTGCGTGCTCTTATCGTCCGTCTTGTCGTGAATAGTTCACAAAGTCACTTCTGACACCAACATAACCAGAAGCACCGCTATAGCCGGGTGATAAATTATCTCTTATAGCCGTTACGAATAGACTGAATATAAGGTATGTTATGTGTCTCCTGACCTTTCTGATTTTGTTTCTTGGGCAATTTTGTAATTAAATGTGTGTTGCATATGTATAAAAGTAAAATACTAGGTAGTACATC